GCCGATCATGTAACGTCGAAAGAGACGTGGAGATGTGGCACAAGGTAAGTGAAAGAAAGTATTAGATAATAGTCTAAAAAGAAGTCTCTAATTAACTCACCTTCTGAAATAATGTCACTACAAGAGAATTATTCTGGAAGTCATTAATGAGATTTGTGACTTGAACTATTGAAAACAAATGACAACAGAAAAAAGAAAGAGTAAAAGTTTAAGGTCGCTAAGTCAAATTCATACCTCAAGTAGAGAAAAGAGAAATAACTTACCCTGATGTTATGTAAGTTTGATCTGTTACAAATAGCAGACTTGCCATTTTAATGTCAATAGATTTCGAATATATAAATCATCAAAAATTTTAGATAAAATTTTAAAAAATTCCAAAATTTAAAATAGGAAAAAAGTGACAAATAAATTAAGTTCCAAGAATTTCAAAACAAAAAAAATTAATTATTAGAAAAAATTATATTTTAATTATTTTTAAATAACTTTAAAATAAATTTAACCCACTCCTTCATAAACAAAGATGAAAATACCAAAATATCTATTAAATCTTTATTAGAACTTAAATTAGCAGAAGAGGTTGCTAAATCCTTAATGTCACATAGAGTTTTAGAATTAATAAATAGCAAAAAAAATAATGAAGAAATTTTAAGTAAAGTTGATTATTATTAGGTTTTAATATAATAAATATAATTCCATCTGGCAAAATATATTGTTTTAAACTTTCTTTTCAATATTAGTCATATGGTTACTGTTGGCAAGCTAGTATTTAACTCATTGTACCAACATATGAGAGATGTTGTTTCTTTCACGATGTATACCTTGCTATATACAAATCAAATAAAGAAATGATGTTTACCTACAAAAAAAAAAATAATAATAATAATAATAAATATAATTAATGATGGTTTTTATTTTAAAAATTAGATAATTAGTAAATAAATGTTCAAAATAAGCAAATTCCAAGCATATTTAATAAAACAGATAGCATTTTAGAAATATGTAACTGGCTTGTAAAATATTTATATATATTATAGCTAGCAAATTAAATGTATAATCTTTTATCTCTCATTCCAATTTATTTAATTAATCTATATGCTTGACAATTTTTTAAAAAATTCAATCAATATTAGAATATTTATAAAAATTTATTATTATTATTAGGATAATATTCATTTATGGGATAAAAAAATAAAATTCTTTTTCTTCGAACAAGAAATCCATATTTGACAATTATTAATAAATTTGTCAAAAAATCATTTGATTATTTTTCTTATATACAAAAAGTATTAGAAATCCATAGCTGAACCAAGAAAACTTTAGGAGATTTTTACTATAAATTTAATAGTTCTATAGTAAATCTTGTTAAATCCTTTAAGAAATTATAAGAAAGATATAACAATTAATGTTAATATTTTTTAAAAAATTAAGATTTTTTTATTTTTTTTTATTTTTTTTTTAGAGAAGAAACAAAATTATAACAAATAAAGATATAATAAATAGCCAAAATGATTTCTTAATTTTTAAAGTGTAGCTGAATGATTGTTAACAAGATATATATTAAGATTGTTCAATACTATATTAAGATCTATAAGAATAATTAGACATATAAATGATTAAGGAATTATCAAAAAAAAATATGAAAAATTTGCCTACTTGATAAAGTATTTTTGTTCAAAGATGAGAAATACATTATTGGTTGAATCTGTGGTAAATAAGATAGGTAGAATAGTGATTAAACCATTGAAATTATTAATTATTGCACAGAGAGTTGTTGAACAAAAGAAAATGATTACTGAATAGAATATTGACTGAAGGATTACTGAATAAAAAGTTGAATGTAAGGCTGCTGAATGGAGGATTGAACATAAGACTGCTAAATGAAGAGTTGACTGGAAGAATGTTAAATGAAATGTTTAACAAAATATTTAATGGAATGTTAAATGGAAGGTTGACCAGATGACTGTTGAATGGAAGGTTGATCAGATAGCTATTAAATGGAAGTTTGACCAGATGGCTGTTAAACAAAAAATTGATTATATAGCTGTTGAATGGAAGGTTAACCAGATAACTATTGGATAAAAAGTTGATCAGATGGCTGTTAAACAGCAGATTAATTGGATAGTTACTTCTTAGAGAATTGTTAACCAGATTGTTGAGAGGATCATTGAGCAAAAGATCACAGAAATGATTTTCTTTTTGGAAAAATTTTTGAAAAAAACTATCAACTTTTATATTTAATTTTTGTATAGTTATGACTTTATAATAAATAAATGGTTACTATATTATTACTATTTTTTTATCACTTGATTAATGAATTGTTACTATTTTACAATAATTTAATTAAAGTTATTTCGAAATTGTATCACCACAACAACATTTTATTAATAATTATAGTGATAACATTGTTGCTATTTTACAACTAAAAGTTGTTACAATATAGTTACAATTTGTTTACTATTTTTTAAAAAGAGTTAATGATGATGTCATTATCAAAACAATAATTTAATTACTACCAAATAGTTGAACTTTTGTTACAACTATTAAATCACAATTAAATCTTCATAATTCAATTACAAAATGAGCTTTAGAAAATTTTTTATTTTATAATATTTAAAAAAAAACAAATTGTTTATTTTTTTTCAAAAAACTAATATAACTATTATCATCAAATTTGATATTATTTATTTGTTAATATTGAACAAGAATATTAGATTTTTTTATTCTAAAAACTTAATTAAAAAATTATTGGAATTGATAAAAAGACATGCAAATATAAGTTTACTTATATCAATAGCAAAGGATATTTTCTGGAATTCAGTTAAAATTTATGATAACTATATATAATAAATTTATTAGTTCTGTTATAATTATAATTTTATTATATTTGGGTAAATAAATTGATATAGTAAGAAAGATTGGAATCTTTTTAATTAATCAAAATATTCAGAAGCTATACTATTAAAATATACTACTATAATTATAAAAAGTCATTAATAAGCTCTTAAATATAATTATAAGTATAATTATAATCGATTACAACTTAATTGACTTATCCAAATTATAACAAAACAATTAATTATCGATTTTGAGATTAAGATAAATCAATTTAAAAAGGGTTAAATTTTTTAGCATAGGGAAAGAGCTTTAAAAATTATGATAAATTAACAATTGCTAAAATCAAATCTAATATAGATAAATTTTTTTATATTAATGAAAATAACTGGATATGCTTTTGTTTTGCATACCTATATAATGTTAATCTGGAAAAAGTTATATGATATAATCATAAACCATAATTGTATGTCACATATCCTGCAAATATGAAACATCAATAACAATTAGTATAGAAAATATAGTCATAGAAGCTTAGATAACTTACTTAATAGTTTATTTTAACTCTGATATTCTATTTTTTTTTAATTGTTTTTTTCTTGTATCATCAATATAAATGACAGTGCCATTGTAAAATCAAATAATAAGATAAGATCAAATAGAATAAAAAAAGAAAAAAGTGAAATAATGCAATTAATAATAATTCAAAAATAAATATTTTAATTAACAAACTTATTTTTTGAGTATGTACTATTTAGAAATGGATCATTGCCATTATAAGATATAGTTCTAGGTTATCAAAAGAAGAAACGGTGCTAAAAAAGAAAAGAAAGCTTGTTAAATAGGAAAAAACCTTGATCAAATCAGTCTTACATGCCTTGACTTACCTCTAATAACATTAACTTTAAACCAGTAAAATGATAGACTTGCAATTTTCAGGCCCAACAATAGTCACTATCTTTTTTGCAAACATCTTATATTAAAAAAACAATTTTCATTTTTAACCTATATTTATAGAGACAATATGTTAACATGATTATTATTTACTAACCTTTGGAAAAGATAAAATACCAACAATTAATTTAGTAAATAATCCTTGATATAGATACAAAATAACTGATTTTGTTAATGAAAAAGACTATAGCATTATCCACTCACAGGATACATTAGCAATAGTAGAGAATAATATTATGAAAGAAAAGCAAAAAAGGCTTGCTAAGTATAAAAAAATAATAGATACAGTATTAATAATATATAAACTAGAGATAGAAAATAACAAATTTATTGATATCTTTGATAGTTTAATTAAGCCATTTGTAAAAGAAATTGAGAAATGCCAGGAAGCATTATGAGCTTGCCATTAACAAAAAAAGTGGAAAAAAATGGAAAACTTGCATTTTGATTACATTAATCTTATATACAGTATATCGAATAAAATAGTGTTGTATTTACTTATCAATAAAAAACACGATAATCATACATTTTACATTTGATTGGTTATACAATTTTGAATCATCAAGTCGGAGTGACCAAAAGTCACATGACCCGACACCTCGTTTTTGCCATGGCTAGGGTACTAGTCTGGGACCGAAGACGTCATACAATGATACGATTTTCTGTGTAATTTAAGTAACTATGTTTTATTTCGTAAGCCGATCATGTAACAAATTATAACTTTACTGTATTAGGTAGCGTCATAAGATTCTCACAATTTGCATATACAGTAATGAATTATATTTTTTGTGTGAATATGATTTCTCTTTGCAAATATAACATTTTACTAGAAATATGAGTAATTCGTTATCCATAGATTTGGCAAAATTACTTGAAGATTCTGAAGGTTACGACGTAAATATTATAGTCGGTGAGGAACCGAACGTTGAAGAGTTTAAAGCACATTCGTTAATCTTATCTAGTAGGTTGACATATTTTAAAAGTGTACTATCTTCACGATGGGCAAGGGTGGAAAATGGGATTACCATTTTCAATAAACCCAATATTTCTCCTTCAGTGTTTAAAGTACTTTTAAGGTAAGTCCATTATCATTATATGCTGTAAAACCCAATTGCAATAATAACTAATTTATTTGTATTAAAAATAAAAACGTAAATAGATACATTTATACAGGAGTAATTTCCACAGAAAACAATGAAGTTAGCTTTGTTGATATTGTTATTGCAAGTGACGAGCTTCAATTTATTAAAGTATATCAACGATTCGAATATTATCTGATTGAGAATGAATCTAATTGGAAACAAAAGGATATAGTTACAGTTCTTCAGCATGACCACTTAACCAGCTTGTATAATATCGCAATAAAACTGGCGTGTAAAAACCCGGAAGTTATTTTTAAATCAGAGGATTTCTTTAGAATGAAAGAAGCCCACCTTATTAATCTTTTAAAATGTGATGACCTTGAATTAGACGAAATTGAAATATGGGAATACGTAATTCAATGGGGGATCGAAAATACCACTTCAATTTTGGATGATGATTTAACGAAATGGACACTGGAGAATTTCACGGACCTCAAAAATACTTTAAGTAACTGCATTCCTCACATTCGATTTTTTCAAATGTCTCCTGGCGATTACGCAAAAGTTAGAGACCAGTTTAAAGATATTCTACCCGACGGCCTTGATGGTGAAATTACTCAATATTTTTCGAATCCTAATTTTAAGCCGTCTGTCAACACTTTACCATTAAGAAAGCATTCATTTGATTCGATCATTATTAATTCTAAAGATGCAGGTATAATAGCAAGTTGGATTGATAGGCGAAAAACGCCATATTATTTTACAAATATACCCTTCAAACTTAAGCTTATTTACCGTGCTAGTCGTGATGGCTTTAAGATTAAAAAATTTCATGAAAAATGTGATAACAAGGGACCAACACTTGTCGTTATTAAAGCATGCGATTCAAGACATATAGTTGGCGGATACAATCCATTAAATTGGTGTAGAGTTAACGTGGATGACAGGAATTCACTATTATCTAATGATTTTGATCATCGATGCAAAACATCCAATAGTTTTATATTTTCATTAACAAATCGGACAATTCCAATATTAAGCCGAGTTTCTTCTAAGGAAGAGGCGATCTTTTGGTGCAGAAATAAAGGACCATGATTTGGCTTGCAAGATTTGCGCATCAATTCATTAAATTATTCTGATATTATTGTTTGCGAAAGCAAAAAACAATCTTACGAGAAGAAAATTATTAACAAAGAAAGTTTTGAAGTAGAAGACTATGAGGTATTTCAAATTATCGACGAAAGATTCCCTCAACGTATTAAAGGAATGTTTCGATTTTTAATGAATGGGCTTAGAGAAATTTTTAAGGAGAAAATCCTTGCATCTGTTTCTTATACATTTCTTGCCATCAGAGTTACGATGTTTATTTGTTTATTCCTAACGTATTTGTGCTTAACAGCACTACTCTTTATAGTTCTTTTCATATTAAGTTTCATGTGTTTTCCATATGTAGAATATCAAAATATATTTGCGGTTTGGGGGGTTTTTACATTGTCTATTGTAGTTTTCACTTTAGGGTGTTATATCTCTATATTTTTCTACTCTATTATTATAATTAAATTTTATCATATATCATCTTTTCTTTTCCCTAATCCAAATTACGTTTATCTAAGGCGCATTCTAAATGATTATTAATTTATGCTGCGAATTTTTTGTATCATCACTAGAGGTGGAACATAATTGAATAATTCAAATATTTAATAATCAATCGGATTAAATTTTAATTGCCGATAAATAATTCAGACAATTCTAATTAACTTATTTAAATTTAAATTTAAATATTTAATATATTAAATATAACTTAATAACCAAAGCATGTATTTTTTGTATAAATGATATTTTTTATTAAATAAAATTTAAATAGATGATGAAGATAAATGATCCAGTAAACTATATCGAATGATGCCATTACATTTAAAAATTCTACAAGTAAAGTCTGTAAATTATTTAAAAATATATATATAAGTAAAAAAATTGGAATTGGCCAAATAAAAATGTTAATAAAATAAATATTCAAAATTATAAAAAAAAACAACAGAATTTTTTGGATCATCTTAAATCAGCACATGAAATATTCAACATAAAATAATTCAGTGGCTTTTAAATGTATCCATTAAATAAACTCAAAAGTCATATTTAGATCACAAAGTTAATAGATACCACATGTAGAGATCTACAACAACTGTATTATCCATAATGCATGATAAAATATTTAGTGATCAAATTAAAAGACCAAATCCTATTATAAATTTCATCAAAAATAACAATAAAACAATGCCAGTACAAACTTTCACCAAAACCAAGAAACAACATATTGACAAATTAATAAAAATACCATTTTGTTTAATAACACTTGATATACTGCATATGTGCACAATAATAACAAGAATATATTGAAATTACATTCATATATTTGAATAAAAATTTCAAGTTATATGAATTACTTTTGACTATTAGAAATTTTCTAATTTACATACAAGCAAATTATTGCAAAAATACCTGAAAAAGTTGTTAAAGAATGAAATTAGAAAATAAATTTTCTTTATTACACAAATAATTGAAGCAATTTAATTAAAGCAATATAACTTTATCAGGAATAATTCAGATATTTTATACAACTTATTCAAAAAATATATGGACATTATTTTTTATTCTTTAATTTTATTTATAATATAAATTAAAAATTTTTTAAAAGTTGAAATTCATATTGTATACATTTAAAATATAACTATTTATAACGTAATAAAAAATGATTGATTAAAATAAAATTTTGAAAATAATTAAATCGATATTTAAAAATCAATTATTTTTATTTAAAATATTTTGATTTTTCATTTATAAATTGATCAGGATTATTTTTTATTACAATTTGGTTTTAAGAAAAGGTAAACTTAACATGTTTTTGTATGGGTTTTATTTTTTTAAATGTAATCAAAATTAAAAAGTAAAGCTTTTTATTATTTAAATTTAATATGTTTAAAATTAAATTTTTTAAAATTTATATCATTTTTTTAAAAAAAACTCCCCTTTTTTAACACTATTTTATTTACGTATTGTATGATTATTATTATTTAAAAAATATATTTATTTTAAATCGAAAATCACTTTTAAGTACTAGCCTAACAGATAAATCCTATATTGAATTTAAAATTATAAATATAAGGTCCTCGAGTTTTTTTTGAATATACTGTATATAGTTTTGCATATACTGTAGGTACACGTGGTTTTTTAATGATTACAATATCAGTACAGTAGTTGTAAAGCTTATATTGCCTAAATATCTAAATCTCATAATGCAATCAGTAAACACAATATTTATCTGGTTAACCTTTTATGACTCGGTGTGGTTATATTTATACGTTCGAATAAACGCCAATAATTAGAATGAAGAAGGTAGATAATGACGGGAAAAAAATATTAAATAAAATTTTCATTTTAATATTGATGTTTCATTTATATTTCAAAAATATAAAGTTGATTTTGAATTTTTTCTCCTTCGCATAATTCTAAATATTCTGATTTAAGTTTCTTCAATCATAAAGTAACTTTATATAGAATGATATTTTTTTTTTAAAAAAAAAAATCTTTTCTTACGTCATTAAAAATATCCTTAATTCGAAGATTTAAAGACGCAAATTTATAATATGCAAAATAAAGTCCATAATCCAATTATATAAGAATGTTTGAGATGAAAAACATTATAAGAATCTCATTCAAAAATAATTGACCGTAATCAATATTACACTATTTTCTCATAATGTATTTCTATTGATTTTCTAAATTAAAAGATTAAATCAGTAAATAGTAGAATGAGTACTGAGTTTCATGTCTTAAATGTGAACTAATCTTTTTGGAAAGTTTTCTAATATTCCCTTTGTCTTTTATAAATAAAGGTTTGTGTATTTCTTCAAAATTCGGTTCTAAATTGTATGTTAAAAAATCGTTACAAAAAACACGCATTCAACTTGTGTAATATTATTGCCCAATATACTCGACCCCATATATACCTTTTGCTTGTTGAATTAACTTTTCCATCAAACTCCCGTGCGCTTAAAACGTTATATGCATATAGTTATACTGTATAATCAAAAATTTTTGGAATTGGAACAAAGTCCAAATGAATTTTGTGTGGATGGCATACATGTTATTTTCATATAGGAACCTAACAATCAAGTTCTCAGTGCAAAATTGCTAAGGCTACAGAGTTGGTTTGTTGAAGCATGCTCTTTAGTTTCGAGAATAGTTTATTATACGAATTATTCATTCGTGACTTCACATTCTCTGAAGGAATGTAACAAGGATTCGTGCGTGTACTTTATGGATTACAAGAAATTTTCTCTAGTTGAAAAAAACTTTTTTAAGAACTAAACTTCTTAGGATGACATTGAGATAGACATCGTTGCTAATCTTGATAAGATAATTGTAATATATCCGTACCAATGATAGTATCTTAGTGCTGAAAGTAAACCTCAAAAAAATTTATTTGCCGCATTCGGGAAGCATACACCGTGTAGTTCCAAACATGACTTTTCCTATTATTTCTCGGTTTAGAGTTATGTCGGGGGCTACATTTGGGAACTGCTATCGAGTTTTTTAAACAAAGCGCACTATATAACGGTAAAAATTGTCTGCACCACTAATCATCACAGCAGAAACTGACATTATCGCCGCATTATCTTGAACAGCCAGCATAGATAAAACATGTTTAACGTTATCGATGTAATTATACACTGAATTGCAGAAACTAAATGAGCGACGCCGAAAGAAAATAAGACTTCAATAATATAAATCATATTGTTGAAGTCTTATTTTTCTTGTCGTCGCTCAAATAAAATAAACTAAATCAATGGTCTAATTTTGCTTACCGAACGATATTCACTTTGCACTAATACATATAATACAATAATACTGTACTGTAAAATATTTCAATTATTTATCTGTTCGGAATCTAAATTTAAAAATTTCATTCAAGATCTGCATTATTAATTCATTTTTATACTTCCATATAGGGGCACAATAACTTAACCTTATGCATGTGCAAAATTTACGTTCTAATTATAACTTTATTAGTATGTTGTACATCCAAAAGTCTGTTATAAATTCTCGTGTATATTAGTGTTTTACGATACGAGTTGGCATAAATTCTCATTGCAAGACACTATTATTTTCACTTAAAATATGAGTAATTTAGAAACTACAAATTCTGAAGGTTTTGATGTAATAATTAAAGTTGGTGAAAAACCAAATGAAAAAGAATTTAAAGCAAAAAAGTCTATCTTGACTAGCAAATCGGAATATTATAAAATTTCGTTGACAGAAAATTGGGAAAGAAAAGAGAATGGATATTTTATTTCCGTAATGCCACATATTTCACCTTCAGTATTTGAAGTTCTTTTGAAGTAAGCCTTTTTTTATTGCGTTGTATATAAAAGCGATAATATAAAACTAATGTATTCGATAAACAATAAACATAATTAGATACATTAATACAGGAGATATCTCAGTTGAAAACAATAAAGTTAGTCTCGTTGATATTCTTATTGCGAGTGACGAGCTTCAAATAAGTGGGGCCTATCCAGAACTTGAAAGACGCTTGTTGAAGAACAAATCATCTTGGAAACCAAGCGAAATTTTTACAGTCCTTCAGCTTGATCATCTTGACCATTTAACTACTTTGTATAACTCCTCGATAGAATTGATCTGTAGAAAGCCAAAAAAATTTTTTGAATCAGAATATTTCTTTAAAATGAAAGAAGCTCCCCTTATTAAAATTTTAAAATGTGATGACCTTGAATTAGAAAAATATGAAATCTGGGAATATCTAATCCAGTGGGGGATCAAAAATACCA